AGACAAGCTTATTATTAATTTAAATAAATAAACAATTAAGACGATTTTTTTACGTTATTATAACGAACATTGTGAAGACGAAAAAACAAAAATTGTAAAAGTGATAAAAAACAACTAAAAGCATTAAAATGTGGCTTCATATATTCTGTCCCCTGCTGGTGATTGTTGCAGCAACTGCGTCCGTCTTACAAATTGATCAGAATTTAAAAAATATTAAATTAATTGAAAGTAAATTTATACCGGATGTTAATGTTTTACCAGCCGATCAAACTATAAACAGTAACGATGAAAATTGGCAGCAAGTGAGACGTTTCATGGAGGATGGTTTACCCGTTTTAGAATTGTATGGCTATAAGCCGCAGAGAGGTGAGTAGAGAATTGTTATAGTTATTTTAATTAATATGTATTAATAATGAGGGGTTAAAGGTATGGAGAATTAAACATTTTACTTTAATTAAAACATATTTCAGAAACTGGACTTTGGAAATGTTAACATCCAGAATCATTAATTTTGACCTATGTGGAAGATTGAAAAGACGTCTACTTGAAAAACTTAATTAGTTATGCTTCTATATATATATAGGTTACAGCGATGATCTGGTCATATCTGAACTAGAACTGAACTAGAACTAGAACTAGATAATGAACCTAGAACTGAACTAGAACTGAACTAGAACTGACTAGAACTGAACTAGAACTGAACTAGAACTGAACTAGAACTGAACTAAACTGAACTAGAACTGAACTATAACTGAACTAGAACTGAACTAGAACTGAACTAGAAACTGAACTAGAACTGAACTATAACTGAACTAGAACTGAACTAGAACTGAAACTAGAACTGAACAAGAACTGAACAAGAACTGAACAGAGAACTGAACTAGAACTGAACTAGAACTGAAAGTAGAACTAAATAGAACTGAAATAGAACTGAACTAGAACTGAACTAGAACTGAACTAGAACTGAACTAGAACTGAACTAGAACTGAACTAAACTGAACTTAACTAGAAACTGACTAGAACTGAACTAGAACTGAACTAGAACTGAACTAGAACTGAACTATAACTGAACTATAACTGAACTAGAAACTGAACTAGAACTGAACTAGAACTGAACTAGAACTGAACTAGAACTGAACTAGAACTGAAACTAGAACTGAACTAGAACTGAACTAGAACTGAACTAGAACTGAACTAGAACTGAACTAGAACTGAACTAGAACTGAACTAGAACTGAACTAGAACTGAACTAGAACTGAACTAGAACTGAACTAGAACTGAACTAGAACTGAACTAGAAACTGAACTAGAACTGAACTAGAACTGAACTAGAACTGAACTAGAACTCTGAACTAGAACTGAACTAGAACTGAACTAGAACTGAACTAGAACTGAACTAGAACTGAACTAGAACTGACTAGAACTGAACTAGAACTGAAATAGAACTGAAACTAGAACTGAACTAGAACTGAACTAGAACTGAACTAGAACTGAACTAGAACTGAACTAGAACTGAACTAGAACTGAACTAGAACTGAACAGAACTGAACTAGAACTGAACTAGAACGGAACTAGAACTGAACTAGAACTGAACTAGAACCTGAACTAGAACTGAACTAGAACTGAACTAGAACTGAACTAGAACTGAACTAGAACTGAACTAGAACTGAACTAGAACTGAACTAGAACTGACTAGAACTGACTAGAACTGAACTAGAACGAACTGAACTAGAACTGAAATTAGAACTGAACTAAAACTGAACTAGAACTGAACTAGAACTGAACTAGAACTGAACAAGAACTGAACTAGAACTGAACTAGAACTGAACTAGAACTGAACAGAACTGAACTAAGAACTGAACTAGAACTGAACTAGAACTGAACTAGAACTGAACTAGAACTGAACTAGAACTGACTAGAACTTGAACTAGAACTGAACTAGAACTGAACTAGAACTGAACTAGAACATGAACTAGAACTGAACTAGAACTGAACTAGAACTGAACTAGAACTGAACTAGAACTGAACTAGAACTGAAACTAGAACTGAACTAGAACTGAACTACTGAACTAGAACTGAACTAGAACTGAACTAGAACTGAACTAGAACTGAACTAGAACTGAACTAGAACTGAACTAGAACTGAACTAGAACTGAACTAGAACTGAACTAGAACTGAACTAGAACTGAACTAGAACTGAACTAGAACTGAACTAGAACTGAACTAGAACTGAACTAGAACTGAACTAGAACTGAACTAGAACTGAACTAGAACTGAACTAGAACTGAACTAGAACTGAACTAGAACTGAACTAGAACTGAACTAGAACTGAACTAGAACTGAACTAGAACTGAACTAGAACTGAACTAGAACTGAACTAGAACTGAACTAGAACTGAACTAGAACTGAACTAGAACTAACTAGAACTGAACTAGAACTGAACTAGAACTGAACTAGAACTGAACTAGAACTGAACTAGAACTGAACTAGAACTGAACAAGTACTAAACTAGAACTGAACTAAAACTGAACAAAAACTAACAGAACTAAACTGAACTAGATCTGAACTCGAAGTGAACTAGAACTGAACAAGTACTAAACTAGAACTGAACTAAAACTGAACTGGAACTGAACTAGAACTTGACTTGAACTTAACAAGTAAGAGTGTTATATTCGGCTGTGCCGAATCTCATATACCCACCATCAAACCGTATGTCGTAAAAGGAATGCTCCCCTATAAACATCAGGGTAATATTTGGAATATACCTTAAGTCAATTATTGACCGAGCTCTTTTGAATTAACAAAATATTTATTTTTAAAAACAAAATATTTTTGTTAAATTTTGAAACTGCGAACATATGTACATTTATGGGCAGTTAGGTCATTAATGGACCGATTGTCGTAAAATTTGATAAAAAGATTTCGGTTCGTATAATACTTATTCGTTTCTAATTTCATCGCTCTACTCATATTTTTAATGCAGTAATGAGCGTAAGAGTAATTTTCTGACGGCAGCAGGGTCAGTTTTAAATCAATCGTCATTAGATTCTAAATGATTTTGTTTCTAAGTATAAACTTTTCTTATATAAAATTTCATTTTATTTGTAAGCAAATATTTTCTAAAGTGGGTGGGGTCAGTTATGGACCAATCCTAGGGTCAATTATGGACCGATCTACAAACAGTTTGGGTAGGAGATTTTTGCTTGCAAGGAACTTACTTCAGTCGAATTTCATCGCTATATTCGGATTTGTAAGTCAGTAATGAGCGTTAAAGTAATTTTCTGAAGGGGACCTTATATGGGGGATTAAGTTAATTATGGATCGATCCATATAAAATTTGGTGGAGAGATTTTGGCTACCATGAAAGTTATGTGTGTCGAATTATATTCGTATTAATAGGGCAGTAATGCGGCCTATTAATAGGGTAGGGTCAATTATGAACCGATCCATATAAAATTTGGTAGAGAGATTTTGGCTGGCATTAATCTTATGTGTGTCTCCTACTCCTATTATTAAGTCAGTAATGGGAAATTATGTGAAATTTCACCGCTATAATCGTATTTTTAAGCCAGCAATGGACGATAAAGTAGTTTTCTGAAAGGGGCCTTATATGGGGGTAGGGTCAATTATAGACCGATCCATATAAAATTTGGTGGAGAGATTTTGGCTAGCATGAAACTTATGTGTGTCGAATTATATGGGAGGTTGGGTCAATTATGGACCGATCCATATAAAATTTAATAGAGAGATTTTGGCAACCATGAATCTTATGAGTGTCGAATTTCTTCGCTCTACTCTTATTATTAAGCCAGTAATGGGCATTATAGTCATTTTCTGAAGGTGACCTTATATGGGGGCTAGGGTATATTACAGTCATTTTCTGAAGGGGACTTTATATGGGGGGTAGAGTCAATTATGAACCGATCCATATAAAATTTGGTAGAGATTTTGCCTAGCTTCAAACTTATGTGTTTAGAATTTCATAACTCTATTCGTATTATTAAGCCAGTTATGGGCATTATAGTGATTTTCTGAAAGGACCTTATATGGGGGGTTGGGTCAAATATGGACCGATCCATATAAATTTTTGTAGAAAGATTTTGGCTCAAATTAAACATATGTGTGTCGAATTTTATCGCTCTACTCTTATTATTAAGCCATTAATGGGCATTACAGTCATTTTCTGAAGGGGACCTTATATGGGGGGTAGGGTCAATTATGGAACGATCCTTATAAAATTTGATAGGAAGATTTTGGCTCATATGAAACTTATTTATGTCGAATTTCATCGTTATACCCGAACTTTTAAAACAGCCCGTTAAAAATGTTTTTCGGGGATCCACTTGTATGGGGGCTATCCGACAGACAGACAGTTGGACAGACGGACGGATATGGCTACATCGTCTTAGAATTTAATAAGGACCCAGAATATATATACTTTTGTGGGTCTATGACCAATATTTCGATGTGTTACAAATGGAATGACAAGATCAATATACACCGCCATCTTTTTTGATGGTGGGTATAAAAATGAGAACAGGTCCTTCATGTTTCCCTAGCACTATTTTGCAAATTTTTATTAAAGATGAAGCTTTAAATTCCGCAATTTGACTACAAGAAATTGCCAGTTTAAAAATTGGTGAAATGAAAGGGCACATGAGCGACCTATCTAACGATCTGATTTCAAGAACTTAGGTTTTCAAGCGATACTTTGGAGTTATAATACCTAAAGGAATCAGTGAACTCGGACCTGTACCGCAATTCTGTAATTTTTTAATTTTAACTACCGATATCGTAAAGTAACGATAAATATCGGTTGCATTAACAAATTTTCAATTCTGTAACTTTTAACCGACAAAGATCGGAAAAATATGAGAATGTCAAAAGTTTTGTATTGAAATATTTTTAAAATATAAAATTATTAACGTGAACTTTTAATTTGTCGTTACATTGCCGATACTTTTCATAATGTTTAACGAAAAAAAATCGGTGAAATATAATTCAGGATACCACATACCAAAAGTTACTGAATTGCGGTAGTGGATGCCTTATTGTCGTACAAAGTTAGGTCGGGTGTAGTAATGGACTGTGTGACATCATTAAATGAATTAAGCAGACACAATACGAACATTTCTTTAGTATCAAACAGTCGTATACCAAGGAAAGGTGTGACTCGTGGGTGTGTCTAATGTTATAAACCGCTTTTAAAAATGTAAGGATTATTTGGTAACTTTCGGAATTTATTACTGCGAATATCATCGATATTAATATGGGCATGTAGCAGCATTAGATTGATTTTAATAATGAGGGGTTTTATTAGTGCTTGAGTCATTTAGGGGCTGAACTTTTTACAAATCATTTTTGTAGAATTTTATCTTAATATATTTGTTTATAAATGATTGATTATAAACTGGTCTATATTTTGAGCTTACGCCTTCAAATCTTGACCAATCTATTGACTACTCTCTGGGGGCACTCTTTAGACCACTCTATGAAATTGTCCATGGATGAAAAATACCTATAAGCAATTCTGACCTTAATTGAACCATGTAGGTTAACCCATAAAAAGTTTTGAATCAAAAGCATTAAATAGATAATTCAAAATTAGAATCAAATACCATTTTGTATGAAAATGAAAAAAATATTTTTCATATATAAAAGGTTCCTTAAAAACAGGATTGACGAATGGTTCCAATTCGATAAAACAAAATACAAATTTAAGTACAAAGTTTCAAATTTGTCTCTATTATTAAATATATCTAATAACTTCCTCTAAGACATCCATAACAGCACTAAATGGTAGATAATACAAAAAAAATGTTTCTATTATTTCCTAAAAATATAATGAATCATTTATAGTCATGTAATAAATCAGTAAAGTGCATTCTTAAGTTTCATTCCATTAAATTCGTAAAATGATAAAGCCATTCAACAATTCAAGGTTAAATCGTTTAACCACCCTAAGGGTAAAGAGTGTAAGAAAAGAATTTTTACACGAAAAAGGTTTTTACAATGAAAATTAATATAACATGAAGACAAACAACTTAACTATAGTAGTAGTATTAGTTTGTACTATAAAATATAAAGTATTTCTTAATTGTTTTCAAACGAAACTATTTTAACAAAAACACACATACATGAACATTCTTACAAAACCAACAAATATAAATTCCTCAAATATACAAAGAAAAACTTTTGCCAAAAAAAAAAAAAAAACACAAGAAAAAAACTAAATAAATTTTCTGGTATGCCGTAAGGCGTATGTGTTTAGAATTAAAAAATTCAAACAAAACAATCAAGTCGAAGATAAAAAATTTTTTGCAAAAATTAGTTTTAAAACAAGACTAGAATGATATAACCAAATAAATATATTCTTGAAATATAAAAACAAAATTGAATACTGAAATGAAATTAAAAATATAAAGAAACAAAATAACGAATAATATTTTATACTAGAACACACCTGTAATGTGTTAAGAATAATAATTAATTAAAGTAACCGACCAAAATATTTATATAAGCGACGGACCACCTCTACCACTGGATAGTATAACATCACCAACAGCTTAAAGACTAATAAACAGTTGACGACAATTAAAAAGCCATTTAAAGTATAATTCATCGTTTTTAATGTGAAAGTGAAATTTTGAAATTCTTGTCATAAAACAAATGCAAATTATATTTATGTACTATGATTCATATTAATTCTTAAATTTTGCTTAAAATTAGTTTGAAGGAAGGATGTCTATTACAGCAGATCCGAAAATACACTTAGGCCGTTGTAAGCTCCTTTTCATGAAAATATTGTTGGAAAACCCTTACATATATATCGATATATGAAAGGAATTATCTTCCATCTTCAGAAGATATATATTTTGGTTCGACGAAAGTCCGACAATGGCAGAGCAATTGTCCCGGCATTTCACTGACCTCTCCTCATGCTCTACATTCATCTGATTCCGTTCGTCAAATTTTGTATAGTTGTGCTTGTAAACCTGTGTGTCCACTAAGAATACGTTCCTTCCAACAAACATTATTCCAGTTGGACGGTTATCCTCAAGCCCCATTATCTTTCTAGCAAGTACATTGACTCTTGCAAGTGTATAAACTTAACACTCCACTAGAACTAGAACTGAACTAGAACTGAACTAGAACTGAACTACAACTGAACTAGAACTGAACTAGAACTGAACTAGAACTGAACTAGAACTGAACTACAACTGAACTAGAACTGAACTAGAACTGAAATAAACTGAACTAGAACTGAACTAGAACTGAACTAGAACTGAACTAGAACTGAACTAGAACTGAACTAGAACTGAACTAGAACTGAACTAGAACTGAACTAGAACTGAACTAGAACTGAACTAGAACTGAACTAGAACTGACTAGAACTGAACTAGAACTGAACTAAGAACTGAACTAGAACTGAACTAGAACTGAACTAGAACTGAACTAGAACTGAACTAGAACTGAACTAGAACTGAACTAGAACTGAACTAGAAACTGAACTAGACTGAACTAGAACTGAACTAGAACTGAACTAGAACTGAACTAGAACTGAACTAGAACTGAACTAGAACTGAACTAGAACTGAACTAGAACTGAACTAGAACTGAACTAGAACTGAACTAGAACTGAACTAGAACTGAACTAGAACTGAACTAGAACTGAACTAGAACTGAACTAGAACTGAACTAGAACTGAACTAGAACTGAACTAGAAACTGAACTAGAACTGAACTAGAACTGAACTAGAACTGAACTAGAACTGAACTAGAACTGAACTAGAACTGAACTAGAACTGAACTAGAACTGAACTAGAACTGAACTAGAACTGAACTAGAACTGAACTAGAACTGAACTAGAACTGAACTAGAACTGAACTAGAACTGAACTAGAACTGAACTAGAACTGAACTAGAACTGAACTAGAACTGAAACTAGAACTGAACTAGAACTGAACTAGAACTGAACTAGAACTGAACTAGAACTGAACTAGAACTGAACTAGAACTGAACTAGAACTGAACTAGAACTGAACTAGAACTGAACTAGAAACTGAACTAGAAACTGAACTAGAACTGAACTAACTGAATAGAACTGAACTAGAACTGAACTAGAACTGAACTAGAACTGAACTAGAACTGAACTAGAACTGAACTAGAACTGAACTAGAACTGAACTAGAACTGAACTGAACTGAACTAGAACTGAACTAGAACTGAACTAGAACTGAACTAGAAACTGAACTATAACTGAACTAGAACTGAACTAGAACTGAACTAGAACTGAACTAAAACTGTACTAGAACTGAACTAGAACTGAACTCGAACTGAACTACTTTATCACATGCAATATATCGATATCTAGGACATCAAGATCTATAAAAGGCTCTAGAGTCTTAAAAATTACACTCCTTGAATTGCATTATTAATGGAGCATAATAATAATAAGCAGTTTAGCACCATTACCGCAGTACTTTCTTATCAGACTAACAGTTCTGACCATTTTATTGTCACCAACTGTACTATTTAAAAAATTACTTCATATACAGAATAAAACACCAACATACTGACAAACATTTACATTTTGAAGTGTTTGTGATAACGATGATGATTAAGTAAAAGTCTATGTGAAACTATGTAAAATTTTCAAGCACGCAATAAAATAAACAAATTCATTAAATTTATACACTAAATTTAAAGTGTTGCAAAAACGTTTTCATAATAAAACTTAAGAATTTTGTTAAAGTGGAAAAGTGGAATAACAAGAAAAGAGAACCCATTTAACCGAAATACAAAAAAAACGAAATCAAACAGAAAATGAAAACTGAAAACTAATTGCAAAGTGTTATTCTCCATACCGAATTTACCCCCTTTCTTATGCAAATAACGAGAAAAACAATTGTTTAAACTTTAGCACACTTTACAAATTTAAACATTTGTTATTTGAGTATTATAGAAGCAAAAGTAGTAATAACCATTTTCGTAATAAACTAATGTAATAGCAACATCTGGTTATTCTTATTGAATAATTGTATTCAGTCAAAACTTTTAGCTGACGAAATTTCAAAATTTACAAATGTGCACATTGCTATCTTTGCTTCTCTACCTTTACATTTCTTCGTTTCGTACGAATACACGATAATGTTTGTATTCTATGTAAATGTTGTTTTATTTTTTGGGTTTTTTTTTAATTGATACTTTCAGATATACCATTCACTTTGATTATACCTAAAATTGATGTTCGTACAATTGAAAAACCACGTTTGAAAGAGTTTATGTTGGAGCATATGGTGCCGGGTCGTGCATTCGATAACTATGCTGATGAGGAGAACTCCTCATCATTTGGTAATGGTAATGGGCATAAAATTGTTTTTCGCAAATTAGAAAAATCCCCCAACAATGTGGTATGGCTATTGAATGGTTTTCAAATACTACATCGTGTACGCATCAACGACAATCTAATTGCTTTGGCTATTGATGGATATTTGGGTGATCGGAAGTCACCCTATTCGAAACGTAATATACAGGAAGGCAGTAATAGGTAAGTACTAAGTGTTACTACTATAGTTTGTAGAATACTACAACTTGTGGTAAAAGTTTTGTTTAATTTTGATTTTTTTAGGTTATTATTTGTTGGTTGCTAATTTTATTTTTTTGTTTCCCTTTCTCTTTTTTCCCATTAACCAGGGGCGTAGAATATAGAAAACTAATAGCCAAAAACAAAAATTAGATTATAAGATTGAGGCCATTAGGAATGCACTGGTAAAGAAAACTTCCTGATAAAGAGGATAGTCCGTATGCTTTCTAACAAATTTATCAACTCAAGCCTAGGGGATCACTGCTTTTAAAGTAAAGTTACTAGGGGGACTCTCCAGGAAGGAGAATTATCTCCTCTTCTAGTTACTAACGGTTAACGGTATTCTAAGGCTATTTGATTCCAAAGGTAGAAAGATAGTTTCTTATGCGGATGATGTAGTGTTACTGCTTAAAGGAATTTGTTTATCCTCAGTCTGCGATATTATGGGTGAACTCAAAGGGCGAAAACAAAAGGTTTGGAAGTAAAACCGCCAAAAATTGAACTAGTACCTCTTACCAGACCTAATAACTTTAGGCTGCCTAGGTTAGGTGGCTTCGAGTAAAGTTTATCTAGTGGAGCTAAGTATTTAGGGACCATTCTGAATAGCAAGCTATACTGAAGGGAAAATACTCGGGAAGGAATTAAGAAGGGACTCAACTCCTAATATACGTAGAAAAGTTCCATTGTTAAGAACTGCAGGCAGACATAGTGATTTGGATTTACACCTCGGTTGTCAGATATATTCTTACTTATGAATATATTTTGTGGTGGGAGTCCTTGAAAATGGATATCTATAGATGGATACCCAAGAAATCCCAAAGGTGTGCCTCTGTGGGCAATACAGACTATGTTAGAAATAAACTACATGCGGATCTAGCGATTTGAACTGATACATGATCATGCCGATCTGTGGTCTGTAGTGACAATTGGGACAAAAGGATTTTGGTGGGGGTTTAAAGGGGCTTTGTACTAATATTGCTTGTATTAGCAAATGGGATATTACTATACCAGACTTCGTCAAGCTATGCATGGACTTTAAGGAGCTAGAGACAATGGAGCACCTAATTTTCCATTGTACTAGATAACAGGATCTCAGACGAAATTGTCTAGGTAATAGATTTTACGACGAGCTGGCAAATATTTCTAGGAGTTAGCCATGCAATTTATTAAGATTTAACAGCTCTTTCGGATGGAGGACTTAGCCTCAATGATTCTGATTTTTTATCAAATTTCTTCCATGAACTGAATCTGTACTATTTCTCTTGTTCCTGTATAATTTTTTAAGTTTCTATGGACATTATTGATGAAGGAAATCATAATAGACCAAAACGGTATTCGAGTGGAGTTGCACCTTAGGGTTCATCTAATCTAACTAATTTATAGCGTTAAAGTAAAAGTTTATTATTAAGGTTTATAATGGTCGAATCATGTGGTAAGGGATTTTCATATGATTACCCCTCTCTTTATTTCCAAAGAACCTAATTATATCAACTATAGCGCTTATATTCGATGGATGGTTAGTTACGTGGCTTGCTCGCTAGTTAACGAGTTCATTCGGAGGCCTTGTGACCTAGATGGATATTCGATCCAATTTGAGTGCTAGCAAGAATGAATGCCTAAGACAGTTCAAAATGTTTTTCGTGAACTCGTTTCCTTAGTGCTTGAACTTGAACTCAAACAAACAATTCGAATGCGAATAAGTTTCTTGTAAGGAGATCAGACAAGTTTCCTTGCATACGTTTAGGGTGATACTACACTAAACCAAGGTCTTTTTTCTAATATCGATTTCCAAAAATAAAATTGTAAGACAAACGTATCTGAACAAGATAATAATATTACTCTTGATAGTACAGTTAAACCTCCTTTAGTAGTTATAACCCGGTGGATTACGACACTAACTGCTATCGTTGAATATCGAAAACTGAAATATGATCCAGCTCGCAATATAATAGTTGAACATGATCAATTTATGACAATAAACATCACAAATCTTATAAATTAATAGTACGAAGTTCCAATTATTCTCTTTTAAATCAAACTCTCTACAATCCCCTAAAATGGTAAGGCTTCTGCTTAACTTTTTTCAAACATTACCGAGTATATAAATTAAGGCAACTTTTTGCCAATTTTAGAACAAAATTGAAGAACACTTAAAATAGTTGTAGTTTACTTTTTTCTAAGCCCGAAAATAAAAAACTTTGACAATCAATAAATTTTCCAAAACATTTTAACATCCGTTTTTATAAGACTCTTGCATAAATTGTGCAATATACATAGAACTAGAAATACAAAAACAAAAAAAAACTATTCTTTTCTTCTTCACTTATTTTTTCACTTTTTTTTGTCTGATTACAGTCGTTACAATGAACCACAACGTTTAGAGATGCGCAATTCAACCAGCAATATTGCACATACGAAGAATGAACCCATTTTAAAGGAGTCAAAGGCGAGCCCTTTAATGTCATTTCTTGGCAGCATGAAAAGTGGCACAAAAGTTTTCCAGCATTTCCTGTCGAAAAGTAATCTTACACAAATAATGGACGATGGCTCTTATACAATTCTCATACCCACCGACAATGCATTTCAACGTTGGCATCCCATCGATTGGGGCTTCTATCCGTTCAGTGTACAAGATTTCACAGAAAGTGTATTGCGCAATCATTTCTTGCCCACCCAAAAGCCTTTACGTATGAGTGACGTTAAGAATATGGATCAAATGGTTGTACGCACCATGGGTGGTGAGAATGTCATCTTCAGAGGTCAACGTAAGCATTAAATATACATTTTTTGATTATTACCTACATATTTTACTTAAAATATTTTCCAATAATAATCCTTGATTTATGTTTTGCATCTCATCCTTCTTATGCCATAACAAACAACATTCCTTTAGCTGCACCTTCGGTCAACAATGTATCCATAATGTCCGATTACACATTGTCTAATGGTAATCAGGTATTTATTATAACAGAGGTATTGTTTGTCTCCGAGGCTGTTGTATCCAAATTGCATCAGGTAAATGGTGTGTTGTTATGAATGGTGATGGTGTTTGAAAAGATTAATGTTTGTATATCTATATGTATTGTTATTCTTTTTATTTCCTCCCTCTCTTTTTCGTCTTACTTCTCCTGGACTGGTAATAAAATCATACCATAAACCAACCTTAATATTATGTAAACATAGATGCACAAGGATAAGGAGACACCACCATTACTGGCCTTCCCTTGGTTTGGTGCACAATTTTTGTCACATTCATTTTTGGCTTTGGAACGAGATCCCAGATTTACACAAATCACCAGGTATTTGCTGCTGTTACGACTTATGATAGTTTGTCTGTTGTATTTTATGATTTATGTATGTATAATTTTTGTGTGTGTTTTTACAATTGTAGATTTTTAAATAATGCTGAAATAGCACCACACGTATCAGGAGCCAATTACACATTCTTTGTTCCGGACGATAAAGCATTTGAGAAATTAGGATTTGATAAATTAAGTGATGATGTTATGGTAAGTTACAAATTCCAAAGGAATATTTTATTTTGTAATTATTAATTTGGGAAGATTTTTCGTCGTATGTATATTGGTATGCCGATATTAGGGTGTACCGAGGACACCTTAATTTCGCAGAGTTTTCAACAGTATCGAATACCGCATTAACTTTAAATGCCTTTGAGAAATATATCTGGTACCGAAAAACCATCATATAACAAACTCAAAATATCTATTGTTTTCTAACTTTACCGATTAGTACTTTGCATCCCGGCGTAGACTTACGTTATCACCTCTTTATATGAGGCGTCAGTAGCAACTTTCTATGCCAAAACAGATACTGAAGATTGCTCCTTCGAAGATTATGAAATTTTTAAATAAATACGAAGAGTATAAGCCGATGTGCTTTATGTGAACACCTGCCGGGTTGGCCTTTACAACCACTGTGTGAGCTCTTAGACGTCTCATCACCGCTCCTTTGTGTTTCCTACACGCACATAGTTCTGCCGGACCATGTACAAGCACGTTAATCAAGTTCTCGGGCTATCTAATCTCCTGACCATTGCTGCTTTGTTGCGTAACTACCGATATTCAAAAACATCACTTCCCTTTACAACCACTCAGATGGGATAGTCTTTGTTGATTCGGCACAGGACCTACAGACGTAATCGGTAGACCGAAATACAAATCCATCAAATTATTTACTTACAGAGAATACACTGTGGTAAGTTTGGTATGAACATAGTAACCCCTGAACATACCCTGACAAGGAAGGATAATTCAATGGTATCACTTGTATAATGGACTAAGTCCGTATACCCTACATTCATCCCGTATTATTAATACTTGAAAACAACTCATTTCCAATGCTTAGACGAAGTACGAAACTCTGCCCTGTGGGCTACCGGATCCCGTGGTACTACATTATATGGCTTTCTAGTTCGACCCCAGGACAAATCATTCCAGGGAAAGGCCGAGGATATGTTTGACATTATCAGTTTATAGTCCCGGCAGACTAGAGGTACTGGTAGCATCTCTTTTCCCCACGATTGCTATCACACCAAGATGGTGGAAGATCATCAAGGGTATCATATTCCAGTGCTTCCAAATTATATAGCTCTCTAATTCGACCACAGGTAAAATCATTCCATGGAAAGGCCGAGGATACATTTGACATCATCAGTTTATAGCCCCGTGTTTCCTACACGCACATGATTCTGCCGGATCATGTACGAGCATGTTGATCAAGTTCTCGAGCTATCTAATCTCCTGACCATTGCTGCTTTGTTTCAAAAACATCACCTCCCTTTACAACCACTCAGATGAGATTGTCTAACAAGGAAGGACAATTCAATGGTATCCCTTGTATAATATTTCATCCATTACTATTAAAACCAACAAACTTCTCATTCATCAGACACATTCATTGAGAAAAATATCCGACACACTCACTCTAGGTATACGGGTGGACTAAGTCCGTATACTCTACATTCACCCCGTATCGTTAATACTTGAAAACAACTCATATCCAATGCTTAGACGAAGTACGAAACTCTGCCCTGTGGGCTACCGGTTCCCGTGGTACTACATTATATGGCTCTATGGTTGGACCCAGGTCAAATCATTCCATGGAAAGGCCGAGGATACATTTGACATTATCAGTTTATAGTCCCGGCAGACTAGAGCATCTCTTTTCAGCACAATTGCTATCACACCAAGATGGGTAACATATTCCAGTGCTTCCAAATTATATAGCTCTCTAGTTCGACCACAGGTAAAATCATTCCATGGAAAGGCCGAGGATACATTTGACATCATCAGTTTATAGTCCCGGTAGACCTCTTTTCCCCCGGATTGCAACCACAACAAAATGGGGGAAGCCCCAGGGGGATATTCAGAGAAGCCTAAAACAGCGAAATAGTTGGTTGTCCAAACTTATTCCGATTGCCAAACATGTACATATAAACTATCGGTGAACTACAAACCGTTAAATTTGAGGACAGATGCTGACTTTGTGAGTTTATGGAAGGACAGTTTTCAGGATGCTGGACAATTTGCAGCGGGTGACAAAGTTCACATTCTCTGGATAAACAAGTGAACTAGAAATAGCGTCTATTTGGTGTAGACACTTTGGTCATTGGTATCTTTTTCGGAATTGAATTATGCGACAATAACGAAATGACTTCCTGTATGAGAATGCTGAGCAATACTTTTGAGGATCTAATCCAGTTAACACTATTTGGGATCGTTATTAGGAGTGTTTTACCTTAATCGATGGCCTCCAAGGTGATTACATTAGCCCAAGTACTTTGGATTTGATCTCAAGATACTGCTTTTAAATAAGATACTAATCTGAACTAAAAGTCCTTAATCCTTATATCTACCCATTTATTACTATATGGGACTTTTATTAAGAGTTTGTAACCAAAACTTTATTCGATTTTTTAAAGTTTGAGGATCACATTCTCCAACTGATCACAATCCCCATCTGATATACAGGAACTCGACTTTCACTGTGTTAATGTTCAGACTATTGTTCATTTTAGACTCGATCAAGGGTTAATCAATATGGAATTCTTACCTTCACAAACATCTGTAGAAAACTGGCAATTGTCGCCATCTTCGGATCTTCTCTTTGAATGCATTCTGATATGCGGACTAAATCTATAGCACTCTATCTACTATTCTAATATCCATATTTTCCTCTCTTTCAGGCCTCACAACGCGGTGTTAAAATGCTTTTAAATCACTTTGTTAAGGGACGTCTCTACAATCGTGACTTAAAGGACAATGAAGTTTTCGAAACAATCGGTGGTGGACACATAAAAATCACACGAAATCCCGGCAGTAATGCAACAAGTGTCAATAATGCCAAAATAACAGAAAGTGAAGTATTTGTCTACAATTTGGGCACCATGTTCTATATAGACGATATACTGTACTCACATCTCTTAAGAGAATATGTGATCAAACATAAATCGCGAACAAATTATGCCGGCGGCAATAATGGACGATCATCGACTTTGGGAACACCCACCGATGTTGAAATAGTACCAAATGAATTTGATCATGAACAGAGTGGTGGTAATAATGGTGATTATTCCATACATGATGATGATTTCGATGATGAAATAATAACACCTAAAGCGCTTCCCGTCCAATTTTATGAATTACCAAAATAAAATAATTAATTTATAATTTTTGCAAGCAAAAAGTTTTGAACAAAATACTAGTAAAAGAAATGAATAAATTAGAGATTTTTTTCTTTTTTTGGATAAGCAAAAGAAAAACTAAGGAAAATTAGTCAAAAGACAAAAAACACTAAATTGAAGTGAGAAAATTTTTTTAAAAATTTAAAAATTCTTTGTAAGAAGTATATTTATTATACCATAATCTGATTATAATTATTATTAAATATTATTATATTATTATGATTAATTTGTAAGGGAGAGATTGTTAGAAGGCTTTAAGCTTTTTTTCTTTTTTTGTGTATAGTTTTTAGAGATTATTTCGACTACTATTGTATGCATTTTTAAAAAAAACAAACATATAAAATCGAAAAAACAACAAAATATATATATTTAATGTTAATTTTGTGTAGATTTATAATAAAAAAAAAGAAACGAACAAAAAAGAAAAACAAGACAATTTAATTAGGTTTATTATTTTCTATACTTTTTTTTAGATTTAAATTTGATAGCCAGACAGAAATACATAAGAAAACCTAAACCAAAACCTAATTCCGTTAGTATATACTACTTACTATATACATAAAAATATACCTAAAGAAATCTATCTGTATTATCAACCAAGTATACTTAGAGTTTTAATCGAAAAAAAGCAAAAATTTTGAACAAGTTCAACATTTAAACCTTTTTGTAGAAATTAAGTCCAAAATTAAAGGAAAACTATATTAAAACTTAAAGTATTATTCCCCTCTAACGGATTAAAACCACGATTCAGAGACATTGGTGCAAAAATTACTCAGGCCAACAACATTTCAAAAACCTTTTCTAGAGCACTGGCCTCAGAATTTCTTCATTACATCATGTTTTCTATATATCGTATTATAAAAAATTGGCCATATTAGAGACGTTATAACAGCCCAAATATAGCTTTATATGTAAACATATGTTATATCATCGGAAAGTCTAATCTGTCGACTTTAACAACTATGTTTAAGCTTTGTTATATCTTCTTTTTACTTCGAGATATCTTAATTCAAAGAATAAGATATTGCCTTTAATTTACGGCAGACGATATCTCAGCAAATACCAGAGATTTTGAAACAATTCAAAAACTAATTTTATGGAACAATTTATGAAAAATTGTGATATATAAGTTTGTCGTAAAATAAAGGCGAAATATAGATGAAAATCTGTAATACTTTAAGCTAGTTTCAAATTTTATGTTAAAATATCTCGAAAAATAAAGGAGATATAATCTAGGTTAAATCTTTATTTTAAAGTCTATACATTGGACTTTCTGAAATCATAACATATTTTATAAATAAAGATGTCTTCACGCTGTTATGGCCAAATAGGAGGACTTAAAGGACACGATATCTTGAAAACTCAATGTGATAGATATTTTAGAAAAGAGTATACTTTGATTAAAAATTTGTTGGCCTTTGTTATCAATGTTTTGAATAGGTCAAGGCTGGAGTTTGCAGTAATACTTTTTAAAAACTTATTCAATAACGCGATGGACACAATTTTCAATAAAATATCGAAATATTCATTATCAAGGGTAGAAATTTTATTTTCCAAATTTGTATGAATATTACTCAAAATCCAAAAATAAAATTTCCATTCGAAATACTGAATTCCGCAAAATGAAAAATCTTTTTTGTCTCCGAATAAGTTTTGAAGTTTTAATACATTTTTGAGAAAAAAAAATCTAAAAAAAAAAATAAATTAAAAACTTGCAACATTGTATGTTTGCACATATCTTACAATATTTAGAAAACAATTTGATAAAAAAAAGAAAATTATTAAAACTAAAATAAACATTGAAGATTGTATTAAGTACGAGCCATTATTTAAAAATAAAACTCTTGTATGACTTCAAAAAGTCTAAAATATACATAAACAAAAATAAATAACATAAACCTTAAAGGATTTACGACAACAACAACAAAAATTAATATAAAACAAAATCATACATAAGTGAATTTAAGACATTAAGAATTTTATATCATACCTAAGAAAATTAAAGAACAACAACAAGAAGAAGAAGAAGAAAAACATAAAATCATACATTTCCATTCTGAAAGTTTGTTAACGAATAAAAAAGGAAAACTAAAACTAAAATAGTGAAACCAAAACAAAAAATGTTTTATTTTCTTGAAATTAGAAAGGGTTATGGTAAGTAAAACAACTATGAAATTTTATTTAGTCATTCACGATCACATGATAATCAGACAACTAGTAGCCTCTAAAGCAATTTGGTATAGTCGAATAATCGCAAAAACTTTGCACAGTGGAATAGGAGAAAAACAGTTGGAAATATCTATAACTTCTAAATGGCAAGTACGAGTGGTGTCTAGTGTGTGGTTCTTGTGTGGTGTCTAGTGTGTAGTATAGTCTATAGTCTAGTGTACAGTCTGGTCTATAGTCTAGTGTACAGTCTGGTCTATAGTCTAGTGTACAGTCTGGTCTATAGTCTAGTGTACAGTCTGGTCTATAGTCTAGTGTACAGTCTGGTCTATAGTCTAGTCTATAGTCTAGTCTATAGTAGTCTATAGTCTAGTCTATAGTCTAGTCTATAGTCTAGTCTATAGTCTAGTCTATAGTCTAGTCTATAGTCTAGTCTATAGTCTAGTCTATAGTCTAGTCTATAGTCTAGTCTATAGTCTAGTCTATAGTCTAGTCTATAGTCTAGTCTATAGTCTAGTCTATAGTATAGTCTATAGTCTAGTCTATAGTCTAGTCTATAGTCTAGTCTATAGTCTAGTCTATAGTCTAGTCTATAGTCTAGTCTATAGTCTAGTCTATATTCTAGTCTATAGTCTAGTCTATAGTCTAGTCTATAGTCTAGTCTATAGTCTAGTCTATAGTCTAGTCTATAGTCTAGTCTATAGTCTAGTCTATAGTCTAGTCTATAGTCTAGTCTTAGTCTAGTCTATAGTCTAGTCTATAGTCTAGTCTATATCTAGTCTATAGTCTAGTCTATAGTCTAGTCTATAGTCTAGTCTATAGTCTAGTCTATAGTCTAGTCTATAGTCTAGTCTATAGTCTAGTCTATAGTCTAGTCTATAGTCTAGTCTATAGTCTAGTCTATAGTCTAGTCTATAGTCTAGTCTATAGTCTAGTCTATAGTCTAGTCTATAGTCTAGTCTATAGTCTAGTCTATAGTCTAGTCTATAGTCTAGTCTATAGTCTAGTCTATAGTCTAGTCTATAGTCTAGTCTATAGTCTAGTCTATAGTCTAGTCTATAGTCTAGTCTATAGTCTAGTCTATAGTCTAGTCTATAGTCTAGTCTATAGTCTAGTCTATAGTCTAGTCTATAGTCTAGTCTATAGTCTAGTCTATAGTCTAGTCTATAGTCTAGTCTATAGTCTAGTCTATAGTCTAGTCTATAGTCTAGTCTATAGTCTAGTCTAGTCTAGTCCTATAGTCTATAGTCTAGTCATAGTCTAGTCTATAGTCTAGTCTATAGTCTAAGTCTATAGTCTAGTCTATAGTCTAGTCTATAGTCTAGTCTATAGTCTAGTCTATAGTCTAGTCTATAGTCTAGTCTATAGTCTAGTCTATAGTCTAGTCTATAGTCCTAGTCTATAGTCTAGTCTATAGTCTAGTCTATAGTCTAGTCTATAGTCTAGTCTATAGTCTAGTCTATAGTCTAGTCTATAGTCTAGTCTATAGTCTAGTCTATAGTATAGTCTATAGTCTAGTCTATAGTCTAGTCTATAGTCTAGTCTATAAGTCTAGTCTATAGGTCTAGTCTCTAGTCCAGTCCTATAGTCTAGTCTATAGTCTAGGTCTATAGTAGTCTATAGTCTAGTCTATAGTCCTAGTCTATAGTCTAGTCTATAGTCTAGTCTAGTAGTCTAGTCTATAGTCTAGTCTATAGTCTAGTCTATAGTCTAGTCTATAGTCTAGTCTATATCTAGTCTATAGTCTAGTCTAGTCTAGTCTATAGTCTAGTCTATAGTCTAGTCTATAGTCTAGTCTATAGTCTAGTCTAGTCTAGTCTATAGTCTAGTCTATAGTCTAGTCTATAGTCTAGTCTATAGTCTAGTCTATAGTCTAGTCTATAGTCTAGTCTATAGTCTAGTCTATAGTCTAGTCTATAGTCTAGTCTATAGTCTAGTCTATAGTCTAGTCTATAGTCTAGTCTATAGTCTAGTCTATAGTCTAGTCTATAGTCTAGTCTATAGTCTAGTCTATAGTCTAGTCTATAGTCTAGTCTATAGTCTAGTCTATAGTCTAGTCTATAGTCTAGTCTATAGTCTAGTCTATAGTCTAGTCTATAGTCTAGTCTATAGTCTAGTCTATAGTCTAGTCTATAGTCTAGTCTATAGTCTAGTCTATAGTCTAGTCTATAGTCTAGTTTTAGTCATAGTCTAGTCTAGTCTAGTCTATAGTCTAGTCTATAGTCTAGTCTATAGTCTAGTCTATAGTTCTAGTCTATAGTCTAGTCTATAGTCTAGTCTATAGTAGTCTATAGTCTAGTCTATAGTCTAGTCTATAGTCTAGTCTATAGTCTAGTCTATAGTCTAGTCTATAGTCTAGTCTATAGTCTAGTCTATAGTCTAGTCTATAGTCTAGTCTATAGTCTAGTCTATAGTCTAGTCTATAGTCTAGTCTATAGCTAGTCTATAGTCTAGTCTATAGTCTAGTCTATAGTCTAGTCTATAGTCTAGTCTATAGTCTAGTCTATAGTCTAGTCTATAGTCTAGTCTATAGTCTAGTCTATAGTCTAGTCTATAGTCTAGTCTATAGTCTAGTCTATAGTCTAGTCTATAGTCTAGTCTATAGTCTAGTCTATAGTCTAGTCTATAGTCTAGTCTATAGTCTAGAGTCTATAGTCTAGTCTATATGTCTAGTCTATAGTCCTAGTCCTATAGTCTAGCCTATATCTATTCTATAGTCTATCTATATCTAGTCTATAGTCTAGTCTATAGTCTAGTATAGTGTAGTCTACAGGCTAGCCTATAGTCCTATCTAATACTGTATAATAGTTTAGTCTATAGTCTAGTCTATATCCTAGTCTATATTCTAGTCTATATCTAATCTATAGTCCTGTCTATAGTCTAGTCCAATTTTAGTCTAGGCTATAATTCTGTTTATAGACTATCTTGGTCTAGTCTATAGTCTATTCTAATAGTATGAGCTATTGTCGGTAGTCTTATTTATAGTACAAAGATTCAATATTTGTTAATTTTTTTTAAAAATTTACTGAAATTTATACATATTTATTTGGTAAATTATAAAACTCAGATTTTAGGTTTTGGCAAAGCCCTAACTCTAACAGTTTCTAGCTGGTTTTTTGACATGGTATAACTGGATATGGTGGAAAATTATCGTCACTTGTTGTACCCTGGAGGATATTTGAGTGATGAGAGCT